GTGTAAAAGGGTGATTTTATTAAAGTCTGGGGACAGGAACCCTGGGCAGAAAGACCTGCTGCCCTGGGGTGTGAGAAGCAACTGATTATATACACTGGGGTTGGGGCTAGAGAAGACAAGGGAAGTTTCAAAAGGTCATTTACATGCTTAAAAGTCAACTCACAGGAACCTGGAGGCCTTGCTTTTTCAAACCAAGTTTGTTTTTGCCTCTAGCAAAGTGTTAGGGTCCGTGTTCAAAGGAAGGAGACTGACACAAAATGAAAGTCAAGCAAAGCTTTATTTGGTGCCAAGCATTGAAAATCAAACCGACCAGTCAGGGCCGTCTCTTACAAAGAGGCGATGATCCAGACAACTACCCCAATGCTCCCCACGCTCCCAAAGATGCTGCTCCCAAGGACCCCGACGCTATCACTACTACTTCCCTGCCTCACAGACTAACCTTTATAGAGGTGGATGAGCCCGGCCCATACACAGGTGGCCAATGAAATTGCAATACACAGGGAAAACTGCACAGTCATGCTAGGTCGGCAGTACGGGTGACCAATTGAATTTCAATTTACCATAGTAAGTATATGTGCGCCCCACTGATTAGAAGTCTCCATCCGGCCTGGCCCACCCCTATATCTGGGGTTTGCAAGCAAGTTCCTCCAGGAGGGGCAGGGTCAACCCAAGCCCACAACAAAATGGCTCCCTCTGGCCAACCAGGCTCCTACACAAGGCATTAACATGAAGACAGTTGGGAACTTCCGGGAAGAGCATTGTGCTCTGCCTCCCTCAAGTATTGGTCAGTGGACTGCAGGTTATGTTAATGTTATTCACGTTTCCTTCAGGCTTTCTTTCCCACATCATATATATAATAGAATATTATTCAACCATAAAAAAGATGGAACCAACCATTTGTGACAACTTAAATGGACCTGCAGGACATTATGCTAAGAGAAATAAATCAGAAAGAGAAAGACAAAGAGTGTATGATCTCACTTACAAGTGGATTCTAAAAGAAAGTAACAAAAACAAAATTGACTCCAAAAAAATCAGATTTGTGGTTACTGGAGATAGGGGCCCGAGGATAGGGGAAGTAGATGAATGTGGTGAAGAGGTCCAGACTTCCATGCATAAAGGTCTATAATTCTTATTGGCTGTTTCATGTCATAACCTGTTAACCTAAAATATGTAGAAAATGCAAAGTATTTTAAGATTCTCTGTCAGACAAAGGCTATGAAATGTTTCTGTACTATTTATAGATAGAAAGTACAACATTTGTAATTCTAAAAAGAACCTCTGTCACTCACAGACTTACAAAGTGTACTTTGGCCTGGACAACAAAACCAACCAGCGTCCAACACCAGTCACTCCATAACACCTAGCAATAATAAGACTTTGTACAGGTTAAAAGAACAAGGAACATGAGGTCCAGCTCAGCACCAGTCTCTGGGAATTTCCAATCTCAACCATTGTCCACTGAATGAGGAAGGACTTAGGCAAGTAGTTCTCATTGTACTTTGTCTCTATTGTTAGATGCTGTTGGTCTGAGCTCCATAAAGCTGGAAGCCAGTGTGTGACTGTGTGACTTGGAAAGACTGTCTCCTTGGGTCTGAGTCTGGCATCCTGCATCCCCTTTAAGAAGGACAGAGACTGTGCTATATCCAATCATTCTGGGTACTGTGTTCTCTAGACTTTGACAACCATGCAGCCAGGCCCACACTGTTTTGGATGAGATTACAGACATGGAGGCCTGGTCACATCCTGGATGCAATGGGAGTTTCCTCTCTTTGATTAAAGGGGAGTTGGTTTGTCCTTGAGGGAGATCAACAGGCCCAGCAGGGAGCTCCCCGGGCAGCAGCGGGGCTGGATTGCACTGCAGACGCCGGGGTCACCTCTGACTGAGGCTGGTTGCTTTGGACAAATAACTGAGAATGGTCACCCACAAAAAGTGAACTTCAGGGACAAGCTTCTAGTGGCAGGGAACACAGGAAAGACTCCATGAACTCTGAGTGTGCATAGTGTCTGGGAACACCGGAAGAAACAAGTGTGCTTACCTGCCTGACTGCTCTAGACCCTCCAGGTCACATTCCCCTTCTGCCTCACATGAATCAGCATCCAAATGTCTGACTCACTTTTCTTTCCTTTCTTGGTATAAGTATAAATATAGGATAGAGATCACACCTGATCCGTAAAGATACATGAGGGGATCATGTGCTGGATGGAGGCTTCTTATCTGTGAACATGAAACTCCCTGGTGATCCGAGGTCACCCATAGACTAACCAGAGAGAGTAACACAACAAGCCCATGGTCTGCCTGAGCATCCTCTGCCTCCTGAGTCCTTCATTTCTAGCATTCCACTTAAGGATTAATTCTGAAGGAATGGGCATCTGTCCTCAAAAGAAGTTTTTCCTTCAAAACCACAGCCTGTCTGGAAGCTAATAATATATTCCTTCTCTTCGCAGGTGAGGTTTGTCTTTTGAACTTGTATGAAGTTCTGGCTGACTCAGAAATGGGGATGGGAAAAGACAGGAACATTCTCAAGCCAACTCAGGGATTCTAGCTAGTTAAGTTTTAGTTGAAGCTGCCCGTGGAAGGAGAATTTGCACCAATTTTTCACCAAGACCCCAGAAAAGAATTACTTTTATTTTTCATTATAAGAGACAGTCTACCTGAATAAAAATGGAGATTATAAGCTGAGAACTCTCAAGTTCAATGCTGCTTTTTCCTTATTCATCAGCTTCAGGAACCTACACAATTCTTCTTCGAATTTCCACTAGGGAAGTGTTAAGACCCTCTACCATCCGTATCAAACTCAATGGCTTCAACCAATTCCTGAAATCCATGGAAAGGCTCCTTCACCACTTCTTTTCATCGCCCCTTGACACACATGGAATATTTAACAGCAGAGAGGTCAGGGCCAAATGAGGGAGTTAGTGGCCATTCCTGGTCTTGTTAATAAAAATACAGCCTCCGCATCTTTAAAGGAAATGGTGATTTTCTGCCTTAGGAGAGCAGGAGCCACATGGTGGTGATCATCCCATCTCCTCAGTCTCTGTTGACCAGGAGCCGAGGATAACCCAAAGGTCAAATATTCTTGGAAGCATAGTGTGCTTTCTATGCTTCCAGAAATGTGTATGTTGACCTTTCTAGAGAATGTACAAGGCCAAGTAGAGAGCAAGGATTGTTAATACATTAAAGTAATCTGGAAAAACTGGTTTCCGAGCCCATGGAGTGGACACAGGAGGAAATCACAAAACTGAACAAGAAGCTCTAGGTTACGACAACTTGTTAGAAACTCCCATGGGCACAGCTCCCTCCTATCTTCCATGTTTCACCTAGGAAATCAGGAACAACCTCAACCCAGAGAGTGCTCTCTTATATGCTGGACATTCAGCAGCCCTGGGGGAGATGTGAAAGCAATTATGAGAACATATATTAATCTATTGTAATGGGAAATATGCACCAAAATCATTTATTTAGGCAAAATAAACAGGAGAAGCCTACTGATTTTATGCCAAAAGTTAAAGCAAATATTTGCCAGTCACTGACAATCCCAACAGCTGTGGACCAGGACCTGCCACAAGAGAACAGCAGGAATTCAACACTTGACTTGGCCGCCCTCTAGTGTTCCATTGGTGTAAGGACCAGATGAAAGCAGGATTTTAAGGACAGATACTAATTGCACATCATACACCCTCCTGAGCAGAGCCACAAAGCAGAAATTGTGTCAAGAGAAACAGTATTCTCTATAAATGTTCTGGGAACTCATTCTGGGCATGCTGGTGTCGTTCTGGTTGTTGTCTGGTTGCTAATTTCCTCTAATGGCTATTGGGGTCCTGATGATATTTCTGGGGACTCTGCTCTACAGATGATTCCAAATCATGGGAAATACTCTTCCCCCAATGATAACAGAGTTACATCAGGATGAAGAGTGGAGGGAAGGTGCATTCCTTCCATTGTGCTAATGGTTGATTTTTCCTTAAAGAAGGAATCAGGTGACAGGCATCACTGACTTCTGGGACCAGACAATCCAGCTCTAGGAGTGCTGGGTTGGCCCTGGGACCAGGTGGCAGGGGAGTCAGTAGCTGTGAGTGGAGCCCAGAGCAGCAGAGGGTGCTGCAGCAGGTCCTGACAAGGAGAGGGCGGCCATGCCCTTGGGGCCAGTGAAGACACAGAGGACTGGAAAGATGACATCAACCCTTGGGACATAATTGACACTCCTAGGCCCCTCTTTGAAGAATCATAAAACACATATTCCCCTTGAAACATTTGCAAGGATAGGTTGCATGTTGTGGGCCCCAAAGTATGTCAGTAAAATTAAATGGATACAAATCATAAAGTGTATTCTATGAAAACAGAGTAATTGTATTCAAAAGCAATATCAAAAAAGCCCAAATATTTGGAAATTAAGTAAGAAATTATTAAAGAAAAGTACAGTCAAAAAGGGGGAAAAAAGGAAAATTAGAACGTTTTTTGAGGTGAAAGAAAATACCTTATAGCAAACTTTCTGGGAGTCAGGACTGTGCTGAATTTATAGGTCTGAATTGGTAATAACAAACATGCACGTTGCCAAAGAAATTCCTGATCAATCACCTGAGCTGCCCCTGTGACACACCTATGACAGAGGAGTATAGGGGACTAAAACACCAGGGTCTTTCCTGAAGAGAAGTATGACAATGCAAGGAGCACGGGCTCCGGCTGTGGCCCTGGACCGGGATCCTTGTGGGGAGATGCCTGGATCACTAGGCCCGCTGAGTTTATTTGGCAACACAGGCACAGCACAGAAGATTAGGGGAGTCCTCAGGAGCTCCTCCAATCACCCTAACTGGGTCCTCATGGGACAGGACCCCCAAATTCACTGCTGCACCTGCCACGCCAGGTGGGCAATTGTCAGAGACTCCACATGTGGAGCCTGATGCCTAGCTACGAGCTGCGAGCTGCTCCCCCAGGGCCTCCAGCTCCTTCCTCTCACACAGACTCAGAGAACGTCCTGTGAGTTCCCCAGAGAAGCTGCTCACTGGGGCAGCCAGGACCCCAGGCAGGAGGTTTGTGTTCGGGCCTGAACCACTGTGGGAGGAGACTGTAGACTTTGTGCACAGTAATAAATTCCCACATCATCAGCCTCCACCCTGCTGATGGTCAGGGTGAAATCTGTCCCTGACCCGCTGCCACTGAATCTGTCTGGGACCCCAGAGAAACGTTTGGAAACCAAGTAGATCAGGCCCTGTGGAGACTGGCCTGGCTTCTGCCGGAACCAACCCAAATAGGTTTTTCCATCACTGTGCAGGAGGCTCTGACTGGCCCTGCAGGAGATGGAGGCCGGCTCTCCGGGGGTGATGGGCAGGGAGAGTGGGGTCTGTGTCATCACGATTTCCCCGCTGGATCCTAAAGTGAAGAGAGACAAGTGCCAAGTTACATACAAACGTTTTTAATGATTTCCATTGCTTCTATCTCTTTTAGTTTAGCTAAAACACTACTTTGTTTTATTCCCATTACTTGGGGCTCCAAGCGTGTACCAAAAATGCACAATCACACTAATCAACCTGAGATTGGAGAGAGGCCTCTCATCATTGCTAACAACTCCACCCCTTCCCTGTCACAATCCCAATCAGAGCACAAGTCCTTGTTCCTTCTGGAATCTTCCTCACTCTCCTAGGTCTACATATGCCCTGCCCCACCCTGGAGGACTAGTCACACACCTGCTACCAGCACACAGAATACATTTTGAGAGCAGTGTGCCCTCTCAGCCCCCTGTCCACCTCCACTAATTCTCATCCTCACCCCACTCTGTCCTTACCAGGGAACCAAAGCATAAGCAGCCCAAGGAGCTGAGCAGGGAACCTCATTTTGAGAAGTTGATCAAGGAGTCCTGGTAAGTCCAAGCAAAATTCAAGCTGGGCTTTTATGTCACACTTGCAAGGGAAGGTCCTCCCTAGGGGACACTATGCAAATCCCCTGCTGGGTGCAGCAGTGGGGAAAGGGCAGAAAGGAGGTGGGAGGGGCCTAGCTTTGAACAAAGTGACATAAAAGGTCTTTTGTGTTGGGAAGAAAATCACAAAACTCAAGTCCATGCTAAGTGCAGCAATGGGAAGAGGAATCCCACTGTGAATGCGTCCATCTACTGTGAGGACACAGCGCACGTGCTTCTGCTCTTCTCTGAAGGAATCTGAGACCCAGAAATGTAGACTTGTGTGTCCAGGGTCAGTCTTCCTGAGATGAATGGCCAGCTTGTTCACATTATTCCACCTCATCTACACAAGGAAACGGCTCCCACTCAACAAGTTCTGGTCATCAGAATTTTGCCCCAATAACAGCATAGAGTTGAGCTATTTCAAGAATATTCTGATATCTACTGTTATAGGTTAATAATTTAAGAATGTTAGAATCACAAGGAGTAAATGGTCTTTTCCTCAGGCTCATGGAATTAAATTTTATAGAGCAATCAAGACAAAAGAAGTTGACAAGGAAAAAATAATGTGTCTCGAGAGAGAGTCTAGAGCCAACCATAGTAAGGGTGAACAAATTCCATGTTTGTGGCTGTGAATATGAAAGTCTTAGAAACTACTATAGTTGTTATAATCTGGGGTACACACACACACATATAGTTACATAGCAGGTCAATCAGAGGGTTTTGAAGGGAATAAGTACCTTGGGATGATAGGACTAAATAAGAAAGAATGACTTTATATATAATTTTTTTCAACATGGTACATGGAAAACTCTTTCTATACTGCCTCTTTTTCATCAAATAGAGCTAAGTTCTATCAGGATATTCTGGGTTCTTATTAGCACTGGTGAAGACCTGAAGCTCCTGCCTGGCCTGTATGTAGGGAAGCCATAGCTATGATCCTACAATCCACAAGCAGAGTCCATGTGTGAGAAGAGCAATGACTGCATCCATTATTTTAATATCTCAAGGCACCATGGGCCCATCACTCATCTAGTCCTGGGTTTTCATTTAAATATGGGCACTGTGGAATAAGGACCTGGGTCAGAGCTGCCCTGGGGTGACTGTCTACCTCCCCAGCCTTCACTAAAGAGGGAACTCACCCAGGTTTTCCTCATGTGCCAGCCTGATGCAGGTCACGTTGAATGGAATACCTCCTGACAAACAGTGCCTGTGTCAAATTGCTTCTGTTCAACAAACAGAATTCTGGAGCAATTGAAATACCATATTTTGCCTTTTTATTATATTTTGGTTAATTTAAATTCAGAGTCAGGCTGAACTGACCAAGGAAACAAATTAACAAATACTAGTCTAGGTAAGATTCCACAAGAATGTCTGGTCAGAATATTGTAAAGGGATTTCAATTTAAAATAGAACCAGTAAATACAAAATGGAAAATCTCACATGTGGACCCTTGCAAGAATGGTAACTGAGAACTGGAGACTGATTTCCATTAAATGCCTGATTTATGGAACATGGAGATTTCTGTCCTGACCAGTGAACATCTGCCACGAATAACTTCCCATCCTCAAGCCAGTGAATTCACTGCTTGGACTCTGGCTGGACTTCCCCTTCTTTGCATTCCTTGCCCATAAGTACAGCTTGCCCCAAACCCTCAATGGACGCACCTGTGGCTTACTATAGCATGCACTTCTACTCAAAGTCCGATCCTTTAAGTTTGCCTCAGCTGGGAAGAAACAAGTGAGGATCCTGTCCCACAGGGTTCAGAGAGGGCAAGGTCTGCCCAACACCTTGATTTCAGACTTCAAGCCTCCAGACCTGTGAGAGAGTACACTTCTGTTGTTTGAGGCCACCAGGTTTGCAGTACTTTGTTAAGGCAGTCCTAGGAGATGAGGCACCCACTATCTGACATGGAAACGCAGATTAGGGGAAATTGAGTAATAGTGAAAATCCTGTTGGGTTGGATTTTATAACAGGCCCCGTTTTCAGAAACTCCTTTTTACAAAAATCTTTAAGATGCGTGTATTAGGACGTATTGCTATTTTGGTGAAATTAGCACAAAACCTTTAAGTGCTCCAAATTCTTTTTTTCCTTTCAGTTTTAACGAGGTAGAAATGACATCCAGCACTCTGTAAGATGAAGGTGTACAACATAGTGACTTGACCTCCTACTATTGAGCAATTTATGCAATTTTGGAATATTGGTGAGGTCCCCAGCTGATGGCCAAGAAAGAACACTTGAGACATCTTTGGTGCAAAAAGGTGATTTTACTAAAGCCTGGGGACAGGAACCATGGGCAGAATGACCTGCTGCCCTGGGGTTGTGAGGAGCAACTGATTATATACTTTGGGGTTGGGGCAAGAAATGATAAGGGAGGTTTCAAAGGACATTTATACGCTTAAAAGAAGACTCACAGGAACCTGGAGGCCTCGCTTTGTCAAACCAAGTTTGTTTTTGCCTCTAGCAAGGCATTAACATGAAGACAGTTGGGAACTTCCTGGAAGAGCATTGTGCTCTGCCTCTCTCAAGTATTTGTCAGTGGACTACAGGTTATGTTAATGTTATTCACATTTCCTTCTGCCTTCCTGTCCCACATCCTATATATAATGGAATATTATTCAGCCATAAAAAAGGATAGAACCTACCATTTGTGACAACTTAAATGGACCCCCAGGACCTTATGCTAAGAGAAATAAATCAGACAGAAAAAGACAAATAGTGTATGATCTCACTTACAAGTGGATTCTAAATGAAAGAAACAAATAAAAACAAAATTAACTCCAAAAAAATCAGATTTGTGGTTACTGGAGATAGGGAATGGAAGGTAGGGAAATTAGACAAAGGTGGTCAAGATGTCCAGACTTCAAGACATAAATGTCTCTAATTCTTATTGGTTGTTTCATGTCATAATCTGTTATCCTAAGATATGTAGAAAATGTAAAATATTTTAAAATTCTCTGTCAGAAAAAGGCTATGAAATGTTTCTATACTATTGATAGACATGAAGTACGATACTCCTAATTCTATAAAGAACCTCTGTCTCTCGCAGACTTATAAAGTGTACTATAGCCTGGACAACAAAACGAAGCAGTGTCCAACACCAGTCACTCCACAGCACCTAGAAATAATAAGACTTTGTACAGGTTGAAAGCACAAGGAACATGAGGTCCAGCTCAGCAGCCTCTGGGAATCTCCAATCTCAACCATTGTCCACTGAATGAGGAAGGACTTAGACAGGTGGGTCTCATTGTACTTTGTCTCTATTGTCAGATGCTGTTGGTCTGAGCTCCATAAAGCTGGAAGCCAGTGAGTGACTGTGTGACTTGGGAGGACTGTCTCATTGGGTCTGAGTCTGGTATCCTACAGCCCCCTTATGGAGTCTGCTTAAGGAAGTTAGCCACTGCTTTGGCTGAGATTACAGACATGGAGGCCTGGTCACATCCTGGATCCAAAGGGAGGTTCCTCTCTCTGATTAAAGGGGAGTTGGTTTGTCCTTGAGGGAGATCAACAGGCCCAGCAGGGGAACTCCCCCAGCTGCAGGGGGGGCTGGAGTGGATTGCAGAGCCCTGCGTCACTTGTGACTGAGGCTTGTTGCTTTGGACAAATAACTGAGAATGGTCACCCACAAAAAGTGAACTTCATGGAAAAGCTTCTGGTGGCAGGGAACACAGGAAAGACTCCATGAACACGTTTACCCTCTGAGTGTGCACGGTTTCTGGAAACACCTGGAGAAATAAGTGTGCTTACCTGCCTGACGGCTCTGGACCCTCCAGGTCACATTCCCCTTCTGCTTCACATGAATCAGCATCCAAATGTCTGACTCACTTTTCTTTCTTTTCTTGTTGTTAAGTATAAATATCGGATAGAGATCACACTTGATCCATGAAGATACATGTGGGGATCATGAGCTGGATGGAGGCTCCTTATCTGTGAACACAAAACTCCATGTTGATCTGAGTCACTCACAGACTAACCAGAGAGAGTAACACAACAAGTCCATGGTCTGCCTGAGCATCCTCTGCCTCCTGAGTCCTTCATTTCTAGCATTCCACTTAAGGATTAATTCTGAAGGAATGGGCATCTGTCCTCAAAAGAAGTTTTTTCTCCAAAACCACAGCCTATCTGGAAATTAATAATATTTTCCTTCTCTTTGCAGGTGAGGTTTGTCTTTTGAACTTGTATGAAGTTCTGGCTGACTCAGAAATGGGGATGGGAAAAGACAGGAACATTCTCAAGCCAACTCAGGGATTCTAGCTAGTCAAGTTTTAGTTGAAGCTGCCCGTGGAAGGAGAATTTGCACCAATTTTTCACCAAGACCCCAGAAAAGAATTACTTTTATTTTTCATTATAAGAGACAGTTTACCGGAATAAAAATGGAGATTATAAGCTGAGAACTCTCAAGTTCAATGCTGCTTTTTCCTTATTCATCAGCTTCAGGAACCTACACAATTCTTCTTCGAATTTCCACTAGGGAAGTGTTAAGACCCTCTACCATCCGTATCAAACTCAATGGCTTCAACCAATTCCTGAAATCCACGGAAAGGCTCCTTCACCACTTCTTTTCATCGTCCCTTGACACACATGGAATATTTAGAACAGCAGAGAGCTCAGGACCAAATGATGTAGTTAGTGGCCATTCCTGGTCTTCTTAATAAAAATACAGCCTCCGCATCTTTAAAGGAAATGGTGATTTTCTGCCTTAGGAGAGCAGGTGCCACACGGTGATGAACATCCCATCTCCTCAGTCTCTGTTGACCAGGAGCCGAGGATAGCCCAAAGATCAAATGTTCTTGTAAGCATCCCCTGCCAAGGCTTTCTATGCTTCCAGAAATGTGTATGTTGACCTTTCCAGAGCTCTTACTAGGCCAAGTAGGGAACAAGGATCATTAATAAATTAAAATAATCTGGAAAAACTGAATTCTGAGCTAAATGGAATGGACACGGGAGGAAATCACAAAAC